GTAGCAAACAGGCAGCTCTTTTTTTATAGATTACAGTCACTAAAAGGTCGCATTGTGCCCTTGTTTATATTTTTAATAGTGTAATTCTGTAAAGACAAAAAATGTCTGGTGGTCTAGCTCTGATTTACATATCTTGCTAAATTGTGGGTTTGAATATGGCAATACTTTCTTATAACAAAATAGACCTGCAGAAAGAAATTACTAATAAAATATCTTGCATATGCATAGTTGTATGCTCTATATAGAGATTTTCCTTAGCTTTGATTGTATATCTCAGAATTTTGTAATTTATCATTGTTTACTAAACTCTGAAAGCTGTGGCTTTGTTAATATTCTGTCCTAGAATGCGGTTAGATGTGCCCTTTTTTTTGAGCACCTGCCCCTTTAGTGGTCTCTGCACAGCCCTGAAGCAAAGTATGGTGCAATGCTAACCAACCAATTGGGAGAAGTTGTAGCCTGATGATGCCACACCTCCTCATTATCATATTATCATTTACCCTTTTCCCAGAGACTGGGATAGATATAATGTATGTATATCTATCTGGACTGGGAAAAGGGTAAATGAAAAGAGGAAAATTGAAAAACGGTAAATTAAATGGAAAATTGGAAAAGGATAAATGAAAATAGAAAATTGAAAATGGGAAAAGGATAAATTAATAAGGAAAATTAGGAAGTGAAAAAAATAAATGTATAAATGAATAAATATAAATAGGAATAAAGATGCCAATTACTCATTTTTTATTTCCCTATTTATTTATTTCATTTGCCTGAATTCTCCATATGTGTCGGTGTACAAATGTGAATGCAAATGGGTGAATATTACTCAACTGTAAAGTGCTTTGAGCGGTCAAAAATGATTGGAAAAGTTAAATATAACTTTTTCCAATTAGTTACCATCACAATTGACTGATGAATTTTGATTAATTTGGTTTATTGTATAAATCAGGGGTCCCCAAACTACGGCCCGCGGGCCGCATCCGGCCCGCCACGTCATTTGGTCCGGCCCCCTGAACAATGCCGGATCTGGCCCGCCTCCTCATACCAGAGAGCATTCAGTGTTTTTTGGCATATATTGTATTTTCCGGCTTATATGTGGATTTTTCTTCAACCACCAGGGGGCTTTTGAGCAAATGTGAAACTAACTTTCCCTCAATGGAATATATACTAGTCAGTCCCAGTCACCGTTTCACTCACGGTTTTTCCATTTGCATTCTGGGTAAAAATCTATCTAAGAGCGCGAATGTCTCCTCCTCGTCGTCGTCGTCGTACCCCCCCCCCTCGACAAGAATTTTCTAAGGTTTCTTTCTCCAAAAACTAAGACCGCCCCCGACCAGAAAAAGGAACAGCTATGTGGCCCTCGCAGGAAAAAGTTTGGGGACCCCTGGTATAAATGACATGTAAATCAGAGGAATATATGCTATTTAATCTGTATAGGTAACATGATAATTATGCAATTCAAACAATATATTTTATGTATTTAAAATAAATACTCATTAATTTAAAATAACAATAATATAACACTAAATATATAAAGCTAAGGATTATGCAACTAAAATAAATAGGCTTTATTACACTGATGAATATAAATCATGTAAAGTTTATTTACATTAAAATGATCTAAAACAGGTAAATGGAAATTTGTCATGTAATAAAATTACATAAATCTTAAAAGTTAGGCTTAAATATTTGCATCATGACGACTGACTCTATGGGAAGGAATTGCATAAATGTGATGAATTTTGATTAATTTGGTTTATTGCATAACCCTAACCCTATCCCACAAATGGCATGTAATTCAAAAACATTCATCCTATTTAAACTGTATAGGTAACTTGAATATTATGCAATTTAAACTATATTCTTTATGTATTTGACATAAATACATTCATTATTAATGAAATATAACAAAATGTTAATATTACTAAATACCAGTGTTGTAGTACTCGAGATCGGTCTTGGTCTCGAGACCATTTTATGATGGTCTTGGTCTCGTCTCGGTCTCGGGCGCTGAGGACTCTGCATTTTATTTCAAGACCAGTCGAGACCACAACTGTGAAAATATCACTAAACGTACAGCATACTGTCCAGTTTATTTGTTAACATCTTTGTTTTCAGTGGATGCAAAACGCAACGATCAATAACGTGACTTGCCAATTATGCGTTTCTGTTTCCCCCTTCCCCCACCTTTCACTCGCACGCGGCGCTCCAAGACATGCGCAATGGTTTTCTCTGAGCAGTTCAAGATGTCTAATAGTAATAGAATAACGCTCCATAAATCATAAAAAATCCGATGGCCACAGCTAACTCAGCAGCGCTGAGTTAGCTGTGGCCATCGTTCTTTATGAAGTTCTAAACTTCATAAAAGTTTAGAACTTCTGGCTTCAGGAAAATTGTACTGCAATATGAAAACAGAAACACCAAGCTGGAAAAATACTGAGCTTTTGCTAACATTATAGACTTTATATTGTTAGTTATTTTGTGCATTTTCAGCTATGCTTTTGTGTGTTTTAATAATTTTCTCAGAGAAAGATTCTTGTTTTATTGAATACTATAGTTCTGATAGGTAAGATGCTAAAATTGAACAATGGGTACTTTTTAGGTCACACAATCCTTGCTGCAGAGAGATGAAAGCTACACAGAAACCTTAAAAAGAATTTAAACTATCTGAAATCATGTGCTATCAGCTTTCTGACAAATTACAGCTTCAAAGAACCCTTTCTTAAAATATATCTGGCACAAGATAATACCAATAAGTTTTTTGCAACACAATTAGAATATGACTTTAAATTCTCATCTCCCCCATTGCTGGACAATTTTGTGTTTCTGTTTCATAAACCCCCATATGAGACAACATAAAACATTAAAATTCATAAAGAGGTAGTAAAAAGAACTACAAATTGTATCTTATGCTTCACTCATTTTAAACTGTGATCTCATATTAGAAAGATAACCAGTGTGAATCAAAAGTACATCAGCTCCGGCGGTCTGATAACCCCTTGTTCTCGTCAGCTGGCCTTCATACTTTAGGACAATCTCTCGAGCCTGCCTAAAAAAGCAAACAGATAAGTGAAAGATGTTTATTTAAGTGGGCACGTCTTGTGATTGTCTGTGTTGCACTAGATCTAAAGAAACCTTTAAGTGAAGGCACAGTTGTCAATGACTTCTTGGGTTGCTACAGTCACAGATGTTAACACAATCATAGTGACATATTGTGAAGTTCAACTGTGCTAAACCAGAGCATGAATATGTGGACTTTCCCTGTTGAAACTTGATTCTGTAGAAATAACTTATGGTCTCAACAAGTAAAAAAGACAGTGGAGAAAGTAAAAAACCTCCCAAAGTACAACTTGAAGACAATATTAAGAACGACATACTGTAGTGAAAAGCAAAAATAAATATTCAGCAACTTATTTGGAGGCATTTCCTGCACAACCAAAACTGGAGTGATTTCTCAAAACTATTGTTTCCTCTCTGATGACCATGACAAAAACACATATTTTCTCCAGATCTCCAGATTACCCTAACTCTGCTCTCTCAGTTAGCGACTAAGTAACTAAGCAAAATGCACTAACGACATGGTAAGATAAACAAGTCCATCTAGTCTGGCAGGTGTGAACATCATATTCCTTTTGCCACTTTATCAATTAACCTATGGCGTATTCTGTCACGAATGACAAACTACAGATTCTAATCAGGTTAATAAGTGTATTCTTTAATATGTTTTGCTTGCTACAGCACATAAAAAAATAAATAATTGCCCATCTGATCAAAAACTTGTATTTGCACCAGTGTGATCGGAATCAGGTGTTTCAATCACTTCTACAACCACAGACGTATAAAAATAAGCACCTAGGGATGCAGACTGTTTTTACAAACATTTGTAAAAAATGGGACACTCTCTCACGCATCCCTTTTCTCTTCCGACATGACTGTGCACCAGAGCACAGAGAAAGGTCCATAAAAACATGGACAGCCGAGTCTGGTGTGGATGAACTTGACTGGCCTGCACACAGTCCTGACCTCAACCTGATAGAACACCTTTGGGACGAATTAGAGTGGAGACTGAGAGCCAAGCCTTCTGGTCCACCCAAAAACACATTCCTAAACCTTGTGGACAGCCTTCCCAGAAGAGCTTAATCTGTTCTAGCTGCAAAGTGTGGACCAACGTCATATTGAACAATATGGATTAGGAATGGAATGTCACTTAAACTCATATGTGAGTCAAGACAGGTGTTTTCCTATGTGCATCCTTGCATTGTTTGATCAAAGTTCAGTAAACAGTTTTAAATTACAGTCAAAGAAAAATACATGGAATTAGACTAAACTGTTAATATAAGACTGATTTTGTAGTAATTTTAGAATAAAAATGTAAGATGTGAAGTACAGTCTATGGCTGCAGCTGCAGCAGAAGTAATCACAGTCATTCTGCCTCAGTGGAAAAGCGCAGACTTGCAACCCATCCCTGATGAAGGTAATAAAACCTCTGCAGTAATAACAAACTGCCCATATAAAACCTGTTAGCCATGGCACATACTCAGCACATCTTATTTAAGACGCTCTCTATCTATTCAAGCACTTTTTGGAAGAGCTTGTTCGACAGAGCCTAAAAGCTTTAGTTAGACATTTAAGGTATTTTTTGATTCCTTGGATATCTGATGTGCATGGTTTTATCTAAAACCCATGGACACAGAAACTAAAATACACTGCAGTAATTTCTTACTTGTTTTAAATGTGCCTGCCAATGCATTTTATTACACTGACCATACTAAAATGTCAAAATATTATTTTGGTAAAATTGGCTGCTGTAGCTAAAGCGATTAAGAGATAAAAACTGCTTTGATAAAGCTAATAAAACATGCTATATTAACAAAATAAATAGTTATAGAAGAAAATGTTGGGCAGTTAAAATACTAAATGAGTTTTTTTTAGATTAGGAACAAGATTTGGCTATTCAAGTTTATGTTCTCAGATGGATATTTTCTTTTTTAGTTTTAAAACAAACAATAAAAGTCAGAGAGAGGACCTTCTTGTGCAACATGTGTGACACTTTTTGCTGCAGAAAGAAAAAGACTAGAAGAAAGAATAAATGCTGCAAACATAAAACCAGCAGCTAAACAAAGGATACTTTAAAACTTTGAGCTTGCGTCTCATTGGCCAGGGTCTGGAGCGAATGTTGGCAATGATCTCTTTTTGGTACTGAATGTTCTGGAACATTTCTTCAGGGTCATTGCTGTCCACTTCCTTATCATCTCCACCTTCTTCATCCGATGAGCTGCAGGATATGGGCACAATAAAAATCACTGCCAAGTAAATTCATTTAAAAAAAATCAACGTAATAGCAACATCGTTGGCTTACGTATAAACACTGTTGATATTAATATTTATCACTTGTGACAGACTTAAGACTTAGATAAATTTGAATGCAATAATTAGAAGATGCAACAATACAGAATGTTTGTGAATGGGGATGTTGGCAGCCCTATAAAGAGAAAAACTGGAATTTTTATTATTCTGCTTGACTATATTAATTTGAAGAGACAGGCTACAGTCTATTAAGGCAGAAAAAAGATCTAGAACAGAGTCATCTAAATATAGAACAAAGTCACATACGTAACAATGAAAAGGAACAGATTAAATTATAAGAGCAACTCACCCCTGCTGGTGGTCTCGGTAAGCAGAATAAATTCTCCTTGAGTTCTTCCGTACAGTCCTATGTCTTTTGGCAGCAAGCAAGGTTCTACTGCTTCCAACCACAGGTTCAGATGCTGAACTCATCCTAACAAGGTTTGTGTGAATAACTGTGTGTTGATGATCAATATGTATAAATCAGTGTGTGGACAAATGCCACCTCTCTTCTATGTCTCCTCTGAAAGGTCTGAGCTGGCGCTACCTGCTGCTTTGGAGCAATAGCACAGGAGTACAGACCCATGCACACGGTCATCAGTCCAATCACAGCCTGCAGAGACCACTTAAAGGGACAGCACTAGACTCTTCTTCACACACACACGCACACACACACCGGGTATTAACCGAATGACAACTTGGGCAACTGGTTTAGCGATTATATGTCTATGCATGAGGCTCAATTTACATACTTTTTAAAATAATTATCTTGTGTTGAATCTCCACTCACTCCTTTTAATTAAAGATCAACAATGGATTATGGGGCTGGAACATAAATGGAGGTTAGACAGATGTCTCTTGTTTGATTGGTGACTCTTTAAACAGACTCTGTGGACTACTTCTGATCGATGTCTTTCTCTATTACATGATTCTTAAGAGGCTGTTTGCGCCTTGGCCCTGCAACACAGTACAACATAAATGTACGCTGTAAATTACAAAACAGGAACTGAGGGACAAGGACTGTTTGAGAGAGAATGTTATACCTATTAAACAGAACTTTTGCTTATTTATCATTTTGATTTGAAACTACCAAAGTAATTCAATTCAATTCAATTCAAAAAACCTTATTAATCCCCAGGGTGCAATTAAAGGAGATTTAATGCAATGTTCAGACAGAGAAACTTCTGTGTGGTCATAATTATGAGGCTACATATGATTGCTATGAGTATTGCTGGCTGATAATCAACTGCACTCTTTCATAGCTGCAGTCTGTAGCTATGAAAGAGTGCAGTAGATTCAGAATGTGAACAAAACCATATTGATGACAATTTGGTTAAAAAGTTCCTCTTCCGGCTCTGGTCCTGGTTTCTGCCCTGGATGGTAAAGCCTTACCTGTCATTACTCATTGCACTGACCCGTCGAACTCTTAGTTTCAGGAAATCATCACTATGGAAGTTTTATTATTGGGATTCTGCAAATTAAATATTTTCATAGTATATTTCAATAATTCCTTTCATACAGTCTAGGCTCCCTGAAAATGAGAAATTACCTTTCAGAGAAATATAATTTTGATTGCTTTGAGTATCATAATATTTTACTTAGTCTGACTGATTTGACTTTTAATGCATACTGATGCTTAACATTGATCATTTATAAGCTTATCAATTACAAGAGGTGTACTATCTGTTATTGAACATTAGTGAAAAGATAGGGTAACACTTTATTTGAAGGGGGGTGAATAAGACTGTCATGACAGTTTTATTGATTGGTGACTCTTTAAACAGACTCATGTTTTTCAGTCCATAGCACAGCACAACAATATTAATTTCAGAGAAAGTCAGACCTCTGCTATGGAGTTCAATTTGTTTCACAATTATTAAAAAAAAATAAAATAAAATAAAATAAAATAAAAAACCAAACCTCAATTAAATAAAATAAAATTGTGATCAAAACATTTGAATTGTAATGATTTTTTAAATGAAAAAGTTTTGTTTTAAAAAGCTTTTCTTTTTTTTGTTTTTTAATAAAATCACTAATTTCGGTCTCTTGAAGTGTAAAAGTTATTTCCAAAACAAACTTTTTTTGCACATGTCAGAAATCTTGGCTTGCGATTCAAAGTTTTTCTTGCGATTCTCACATGATATCCTGGGCGGGGCCTAAAGACTAACGATGAAACTGTGCCCCGAACTGCATTGAAGATGACATGTGCAAACAGAAGTTTGTTTTGCAAATTGCAAGCAAAACTGAATGGCTTTAAAAATGAGTGACTTTAATTTAAAAAAAGTATTTTAAGCAAAACTTTTTTTGTTTAAAAAAAAAATCATTACAATTCCAAAAGTTTTGATTGCAATTTAACTTTACTTAACTGAGGTTAGTTTTTTCAGTGGTAAAGGTAAATGTAATTTTATTTATACACCTTTGTTAGAAATGACATGGCTCAAATATTTAACTTCTGGCTGAAGAAAGGAATACTTTGTAAATTTTGCCTTGAGAGACCCTCTTTCTTAAAGCATTCAAGCACCATCCCCAGGTGCTCCAAATGCTTTTCCACAGTGGAAGAAAACACAACTATATCATGATACAGCAACAATGGTTGATTCTGTTTATCAGAGAATAAGCCTCTGAAGTGTACTGGGCGCATTACATAGCCCAAATGGTATCTTATTCCTTTCGAATAGACCAAATAGAGTACAGAACGCCATTTTATGACGATTTGCTTCTGCAACAGGTACCTGCTTGTAGCCACTTGCCAAGTCCAAGGTAAAGAACCAGCAAGCACTTGTCAGTGCATCCAAAGACTCTTCAATGTGTGGCAAAATGCTAATCTTAGCATCTTTGCGGGTTTTGCTATTAAGCTGCCAGTAGTCCACACACATCCTTAGGCTCCCATCCTTCTTTTTGACTAGCACAATGGGATATGCATAGGGCTGCAGGTCTCTCTGATCAGAATTTATACTAAGTAGCTGGTTGATTTGGTTCTTTACTGCTTCATAGTGTCACAGTGGTATACGTCGGTAACGCTGTTTTACAGAGGTCTCATCAATAAGGGGTATGTCATGACTAATGTTTGTACACCCCAAGTCACCATCATGTTCTGCAAAAACTGATGAATATTCCCTAAGAAAGGTCCTCACCTGACCCTGGTCCATGCTGGGCAGTTGGGAGAGGTCGATTACCTCAATTTGGTCCTGCACAGTTGGGGCCACAACCTGAGAAGACACCCTAGCTGTGTAGAAGGGCTCTTCTGTAACACCAGCAGGCAGACTGATGACATTAGCATGATGCAAAGTACCTACAACAGTACATGGATGAAGCAAGATGTCTGCAGAACCTAGACTAACAATTGGTATGTAAGCTGTGCCTCACACCACACACAAGGGGAGGAGAAGCAAGCAAACCCCCAGGCAGACCTGACTCAAGAGGCTCAAATAGTACAGTCTGTGACAGCTGATCAGAGCATGTAGGAGCCACAAGCTTCATAACTCCACCTGGGACCCTGCATGCTGCATGACCCCACACCTTTACCTTCCCCACACAGTCTGCAAGCTTGCCTGATGGCACTTTTGCAATGCAGGCCAGATTTCATGAGGGGCATGTGGGACATTGTCCTGATTGAACAACCTTGCACCATGCTGCACAAAAACCTCATGATGGTATTTTTGAATTAGAAAATTTCTGAAGAAATTTAAACGGGGTCTGCCAAAGTGTGCCCGTCGGTTGGAACCCACCATTGTGATGCTAAAAATTAGCATCACTGCTAAGTTTAGCTAAAATAATAATAGCATATGGAGAATCACAAGCATATTGACTAACATGGACTTACACAATTTAATATGTTAAAACTAGTGTATAAGCTAAAATCTGCCAAAATGGTAATCTTAGCATAAATGCTGTCAGTGGCATGTGGGGTATCACTAGCATGATGTCATTGTTTGACTTGCTACATTCAGTGTGCTAAACATGGCTTTTATTTTGAAATGTTCAGTAAGCTTCATTTTAAATGAACACTACACTACACTAATCCTTCTGCGACAGACTGACAACCTGTCCAGGGTGTACCCTGCCTCTCGTCCGAAATTTTCACTGGAGATACACACCAGTGAACATTTGGTGTGTCTCCAGTGGGGACAATAGGTGCCCCCATTGTCCCTAATGGGGACAAGGGTGTACAGAAAAATGGATGGATGGATGGATGGATGGATGGATGGATGGATGGATGGATGGACACTAATCCCAAGTGTAACAGTAGTTGGATTAAGCCAGTCAAATAAAGCCCAAACCAGCACTTACCTGCTGTGAAAAATCTGAAGGCTTTTAATTTGGAGGGTATGTGTTTCTCTTATTTTGGAAGTCCTAAGCGGTTGTCAGTTTAGGAGCATCAAGTTCACAAGTCATATGGAACTATCTTCCTTTGCTCTTCTGCCGTCTTGTCTGTATTAAGTGTTCTGCCACAGTGGCGTCACTGTAGTTCTAAATGCCAGCTCTGCCTTCTTCTGTAGTAACTCAGTGTTCCGTCATCACTGTGGTTCTAAGAGGCAGCTCAATCCTCTGTATTGATGGAGTTCTGCCACTTTATCTCTGTGGCGGAACAGAGAGATGCAGTGTTCCGCCATATCAGTAGTTCTAACATACTGCATTACCTGCCTTATAACTCTATGTGTTAGAACTACAGAGAGAGCATCTTTGTAGTCCTAACCAGAAGCTCTGCCCTTCTCTGTGTTCTGTTGCTATAGTAATTTATCCTCTATGGCAACTATCAGTGAGACACAATGGTGGAGACAGAATTCTATCTGTTTGAGCCTGTCAGTTTCTCTTAAAAAAGAGCAGTCTGAACAACTTCCTATTCAGGATCTGTAAGACCGATCCAAAAACAGTTCCAAGCATATGAGAGGGTTATTTGTCATCTTTGATAGTATCACGATTCATATCTGTACCTCACTCACAGAAATACCACAAATGAGAGAGATAGTGTGCTCTGAGCTCTGAAATGTTTGACAATATTATCAAAATGAATGGCTGGGAGCCTGGGTTTACCATCTGACACTAGTTTCCTCTGAAGCACCTTGACAGAAAACCGTAAACCCTAAAAAAAATTTGAAAAGATTTTATGGAAGCAGACACGTGGTACAATGTCATGTCCGACTTTCATACCAATAGAGCCATATTTGTGGACATGAGAATGAGTTAAAAAATGTTTTGGGACCGAAATCCACTCCGTTTCTCATTCACCTGGGAGAAAGAAATAGCTAAAACTCTCATGATTTCAGCCCTTCAGCTCTACCTTGACTGTGCTAATTACTCATTACCCTGTGCTGCTCCCTATTTAAGCAGCTGCTTGTCACCAGCTCAGTGCAAGATTGTCTGTTGCCCCAGTCACAGCTTTCAAGCCTTGTTTCATATTCTAAAGAGTTTTCTGGTTTTCTTATTCTGACTATTTTTTGACCACATATTTTTGCCTAGTCCTTCTGCTGTAGGACGAGTTCTGACCTCCTCTTGCTGAACCCTGCCTACCTCTGATCCTGCCTCCAGTCTTCTGATTATTGGATTTTCATTGCCAGAGACCCCGCCATGCATGACCCTGGATCGTTTTGACGACTGAGCCTCGGGTTGGTGG